ATATAATATGCTATACATTATATAATGATGTATAGCTGCCAATGATATACGGATAATTAAAAAATAAAATGAATATTGTTTTTGAAATTGTTTTACAAACTGGACATTTGGGTTGTCATTCCAACAAAGGCACTTATTGTTTATTATTTATTTATCTCTCGGATTCAGCTAAAGGTACTTTTTTCCGGGCTAGTAAAAAGGATATTGTATTTCTCATGTATTTCTCAGACAATTTTTGAAAACTTTTTCGAAAAAAAATTTTTTCGACTAACAGTTTATTTCTTGAACCATGTCATAATAAAACAAAGTATTTCAAAGTTTATCTACTTTAAGAAAACGTGTTTGGCACGAAAATTTTATTTTCGATTGAACTACATACCAGTAGCAGAATATATATCTATACTGTTTAGTAGAAAAAATGCTATACACGAAGCCCGATGATCCTAGCTAGAAAACATTACTTCAGTACTTCACTAGAATAGACAATCTACTATGCAAACGACTTCGAGAAGTTACTCCCTTCGAGATATCTCTCGGGGTTTTACAACCGGTATGTATGCTCTGATGTATAATATATACCGGGTTTTATATTTATTAAACCCGGTTGAATGATATCTTACAGTTCACAAGAAATCCAATTGAAAGCTAAAAATCACATTAAATCATTGTTGTTGATAGCCGTTCTTATCTTACATTCAAAGTAAACATCCAGTTATTCCCACATCGATACTGGCAGTTACATATAGGCTTCATAAACACGTACATTTATATGAACCTTTTTCAATATACTGCCTTGCAGACACCTGAAGAAACCGTAATCTATTAAAAAAAAAAAATAGACACTTCAGGAATTTCTTCTGCATGTGTTAGGAATACCATTCCTATTCTTAATAAAGAATAGTTTTTTTATCGTTGAAGTAATGCTCCTTAATTCCGATTATAGATTTATAGCAGATGTCTGTTAAATTTTAGTTCGGTAGAAAAATAGTATCTATTTTTTTGTTTGAAGTGTTCGTTTTCTCCTTGGTTGCCCCGCTGTTTGTTCCTTCACTCCATCCATTCATACGCCCGTTGCTGAACTTCTAAAAAGCATACTTATAAATCGAGTGGAATATAAAATTATATACAAGTAAAACTTTGTGTAAATGTAAGTTGTCTGCGAAGTGTGTCCCTTCTATTTTAATTGCCCTGCTGGGCAGATTGGTGTAGAATTAAGAAATCGAATGTCGTTATTTTTGAGAAGTCCCTAGGCAATCATATTTTCTGTGTCCTTACAATTGCGTTCAGTGACCATGTCGGCCTATACACTAATGGGTTATTTTTGGCCCCGAACGAGTCTGGGTAGCACAATAAGGATTGCATAGTTTCAGTCTACTAAAAATGACCTTGTCATCTATATCTTATCCATAATCTCTGCAAATAGATCTGGATTCTGGGTTATTAATCACTTGACTAGATTTGCAGGGGCGCCGTCCGGCCGCGTAGATTGTATACTTTTTGAGGGTTAGACAGCTCGAGTTACCCTGCGCGGACTGTGGAATTTTGTTGTCGAGCTACTAAACAGTCTTTTTATAACATCAGTTACAAACTCAAGCTTGAGTTTATTGTTAGAGTCAGCGTCAGACATCTTGCACATAAATATTTTACAGGTTCATCTCCACACATTGTTATTGAGCTCATCTATGAGTTTGTCCTAGTAAAGTGACTTATTTGCTCTAAAGAGACTCCTAAACTTATATACAAGTTGTCGGAGATTGGATCAATTCTAGTGTTACGAGCGTAACATTCTCGTTCTTAGCAACCTTCTTAAATCAACACACAGTCTATTTTACTTTTAATATTGGAGTTCTATCAGTAGTTCTTAGTGAGCTTTCTAAGGCCATCATTCAGATTTTGGCGCTCTTTTTTTAGATTAATTAGGAATACCAGTGTGAAGGCTTGTTAATCCGTTCTGTGATTCCAAATAGCCGGACCAATGTTTGCTTAAGAGCGTAAGGTCAGCGTGTTTTTATTATCGCGGTTACACATGCTCTACTTCATGTAGAAGTGACCAGGAACGGTCTCGACTTCGTGACTTAATGTTCAATGGGTTATACGATGTTGGAGGCTGGTAGAGATAGTTTCGGGATCGATAGCCGAGGCAGCTCCTCCACCTGCACGCGTGAGTGCAGTTAATTTTATGTAGGGTATTTGTCGCCATGCAGTTTTTCAGAGCATTTTACCTAGACGTTGCATGACTATTACTCCGCGAAGTAGAATGTCCGTTAAAGCGATCGACTATAATTAGATTGCTCCAATTCCTAAAGCTAAGCCCGAATTGAATTTCGTGGGGCCAGTTATCCAAGGGCGGCAAAATTTACACTAAATCAAGAGTAAGTACCTACGATTGAGTAATCTTCCATTCTCATCGAAGATGATTACCTGTCATTTACTACTGGTTGTAACACGCATGTTGGAGTCGTAAACGGTAACGTTTATTGCGCCTCTTTGGTTTATGCGTTATGCTCCATTTCACTTTTCTAATTAGGCTCAGCGAGTATGCTTATCTTGACTTTGCTAACGGTTACAAACTGCTCCCACAAGTCGCATGCCAGCCTTGATTTATTTGAATTTTATTCTTGAAAAACTAGTTTTTGTCATTGTAATGTTTGTTTAGCTTGAGTACTAGATTACCGGTGGGGTTCCTCTCAATAGGTGAGGTGCCCTAACCTGTTCGCTTGGTGATCATCAGTACTGCAGTCAAACCAGTAATAAACATTCTGGAAAACGCTTTACAGGTAATACTCGTAGTCCTAATTGTTTCGTTGCTACCTCCTTTTTCTTTGCTAGGTGGTTGGTTGCCTAGTGACTGCGTTTAAAGCAGTTTGAGCAGAGTTTTTGTGGACATCAGCTCCTTACTCGAACGTAACCCACTTTCTTTTGAACTTGTCTAAGTAGCTCCCCTATTTCAAGTTGCCTTATGGCGATTATCAGCGTTCAAAGCTTTTCCTAGGTTGTTGTACTCCGCCACATTTACCTATAAAGTTGACGCTATGTTTTATATTATCATGAATTCATGAATGCCCCTAATAATGAACCGTAGGTTCCGGGCTAATATTTCGCCTTCGGCTGTCAGGTTAATCGCAGCTGCTATTTGCGAGGAGAATTTTTTGCGTTGCTAGCTTCTTTTTTTTTAACCGAAAAATTCAAGTTGCGTTCTCCGTCGATGCTCAAGTCCGATACTATGATACGCAACATTATCCGCGTGGATCTGTGTTCCGGAAATGTTTGTGGTTTCCTGCAATTTCAGGGAAAACCTACTATTAGTATGACCAGTCTCGTATCTCTGTCCTTAAGAATATAATGCTAGGGTGGTTGTCTTTTCTGACTATTGGCCAGTGTTTTCTGGTGAGTTCAATAGTTTGCTTTTTACCTGTGAGTAACACTAGATTACAGCGAATATTAGATACTGTTTCAATTTCTGCTATGAATAAATCTAGATCGGTTTGATTTTGGGCATTTACATTGCAGTTGTTTTCGCTAACCGTGTGTGATATAAAGCATTTCAACTCAGAGTCATAATTTTTTTCCTAGGCTCAGACAGACCTTCAGAAAATAATAGACGCTAATGTGCGCACACGGATATCGTTCAACTGACCTAAAATTCACATCTTCCTGTGGGAAAAATTGAAAAAGCACTGTCATAATTACGTGTTTTGTAACTCTATTTTGGGATACCTTCTGACCAAATTCTGGTCACCTAACGAACACGATTTATTGTTCTAGCACGGTATTCAACACGTTTGACATGATGGAAGCTCCGAAAAAACATTACGAGGTTTAGAACGACTAACTCCGATAAATGTCATCAACTAAACGCCATTCCGCCTGTCAACCGAAGTGACTATTAGCTCTATAATCTCTTAAGTGTTGATGTAATTTACGATGGATACTTAAATTGCAGGTGCGGAGGGATTACCTTGGGACAACAAATTGGTCACGCAATTATTTCGCAGTGTAACTTGAATTCGCTATTTGCTCCGGTTTCTTTTTTTTAAACACAATAGGCGACTGTGTCACTAGTTCATCAGCTATAACTGACATAATATTATCAATGCATTTTCGTATGCCAAAGGTCCTCTGATCATTAAGTGAAACCTACTACATAGGCCGAAAATTTAAGGTAGTAAATAATGGTTTCAGCTGAATATTAGACAGAGTTTCGCTAATTCTATTATCCAACGTTCATAGTTATGGGCTAAGAAATCTATTGCATCAAATATCTTGTGGTACAGCTGAAGGCCCCTCTCTTTTCTTTTAGAAGCTGAGAATCCTTGAAGATAAGAATCCTTTTTCCAAATACTTACACTCAAATTTATTTCTTTATAAGATACGAATTTATAATATTTGCTACATACTAAGCGTACGTCGAATCTCCAACACGCCAAGCCAGTGCCTCTTTTACTTCAACTTGGATATATTCTTGTTCTGTGTATTACCTGCCTACATGGCTTTTTCATCTAGAACATCATACTTTAGTTTCATGCATACACGCATAATGGTTTCTCGAGATTAATAAATTACCCTTTGTGATTAGCCCATAAATACATGCGTGTGCCACTTTCTCAAGCAACAGTTACTCGACATTGCCAGCCTCCCATTCGTCGTGCGTGTTCCAGACTCTATTACTCAAATATTGGGGGTATCCGGGGTATATCGTCTCTGCAAAACTTATTCAAACAGTTGGCCTAAACAAATCACTTGCTCTAGCATCCCTGATGAAGTAACGAATAGATATGGCTCACTCAGCTAATCCATTGTTGAGCCATCAATGCGTGCCGACGACATGAATTTAGCTCTAGCTTTGTTGTTGTCGTCGTTTGTGTCATTTGCAATAAATATGTATTGTCATCTTATGTATTACTAACATGACCAACTAACTGACCATTGTCAATACTCACTGGTTATGTCATTGTTGTTAGTAGGGGCTTGTGTCGTTCTTGTAATCTATCTCATGAACAAAACATAATGATGGTACCTGGGTCACTTTTCCCCTGGCTCACGTTTGGTCCGCTTGCTCCTTTTTTGCCCTTGTAACACAGTCAAGGGCAGCGTGCGTCAGGGACCAACGATGTCTGGAGTTGTTGTTAATGTCGTTATCATTTTCGCTGTGGCTGGCCCAAGTAGTGGAAATCGTGGGTGGGGCTTTATGTATGTGTGGAGGGATTAGCGGTAGCCTCAGCCGTAGTTGCCCTCACCGAACTTTTCGTGCACCCTCTCCTTTGGGCCTACCCCTGGACGCAATAGCGGACATTGCAACCGCTAACACAATCGGACGCACGTTATTTCGTTAGCTGTTGGCGCTGCCCTTACGCTCATCCGCTAGATCCAACGGTGTTGTGGCCGATAACATACCGTTAGTTAACGCATCTGGCGACGATCAAGTGAATCAAAATGCAAGCTGGTCATGTGGCGATGCGCGCGGAATAGTATTACAGTACTTACAATGCGTATGGCAAAAAGAAATCTATTGTTGGCTCTGTGCCGTGCCTTGTGTAGACGAACTTGAAGGGGAATTCGAACGAGAAACAAGGCCCAGATATGTTCGATAACGAGAAAAAAAAATAAGGATTAGCGTTCACACGTATGTTGAAGGCTCTGCCGAAAATTAGCAAGCACAAATCACGCTGCCATCAGTAGCGCAGTCAGCAAAATTCGGAGCAATCATTCGTTAGCAAATCCGAACAGGGCATAGACCAAGTGTTTGTTCAGACGTGAATGACAAGTACTTTGTTGTTATGTGAGGCTGCCAATTGATAGACGTTTAGGTTTGAAGACGTACGTGAACAGTTTAAGGATCGAACATCCGTGCGATAACACGCACCTGTTGTCGAATACGAATGTCTTGGACACAGACGTTGCGGGAGTGTTTCCTACTGGGATGGACGATTCGACGGATGTGAACTTCTCTAAAGGATAAAATATAGTATCTAGATACTGTGTACGCCGCGACGCAATTCGCGGCTATGCAATTCCCATGCAGATTTTCTCTTTACAGGATGAGTTACGGTGTCCTGATGCGCCCTATCATCTTACTACTATCGTGCCCCTTTTGCAATCTGTAAGGGACTTGTGGGCGTCCCTCAAGAGCCAGAATGTGGCCCCACTTCTATCAGGCCAGCATGCACCTTTGCGCCATACTCGTACTGATTATAGGTAAGTACACTCTGCGTAATGTCTGTCATAAATAAAATAGCAATGTGGTACCACCGTCCATCACTGTCAATTCCATGTAGAGCTACGAATCACTTAAGCATAAATGAGTAGCAGCCTTGAGAAAATCCTACTATTTGACGCACGTATATACAGCGAACTTAAGCCTATATATAAATAATAGAAATAGATACTGTTAAGACACAACCGAAAAGTAAAGCCCGCTTATAGAGCTGCGGAAATAGGCGATTATGTACATAACAGCCACTGCTGCATCTGAAGTTTCACCTTTGATCAAATCGTTTGAATGAGAATGACATTTGAATACGTTTACTATGCTACTATATAAATGTCCAAACAACATTTGGCAAGGTGGACAAATTCTATTGACGAGGTTTTGAAAGTCGTCAAAATTGCCAATCCTGCTGTTCTGCAGGGGATTTGCGAAAGTTTTAAATGTTGTCTCAGCTTATTTAATACTTATAGTTACTAGTAACTAGTGGCCGCAACTTGAGAATTGCTTACACCATCGTAATTATGATTCGTTGGCATCTGTCCTTGGCTTCGTTCGTCCAAATAATGAATGTAAAGACGAAATAAATGATTATACTTTCCCTTTTTTCCTTTAGCTTTGTTTACAGAAGGGGTAAATTTTAGATAGCAAAATATATGCATAATTTATTCAAGCCGATCATTCTAAATACGGATAATTGAACACATATATATTCAATACGGTACGACATCTATTCTGAAATGGAACTAATATCAGATAATACAATGAAAACATAATACTTTAAAAACGCAAGCAATTTTTAAAAACTTTTCAAAACGAGAGGTAACTTTCTGTGCAAGATATAAAAGCCTGCCAAAAAGGAAAAAACAATCAACTGATTTAGCAAACTCGTTATTAAAATGATTGAAGAGCTTATAGTGTTAAGCAATTATACGAAACATGTCACATATTAGTGACGAACTTCAAAGTTTATGAAAACCTTAACACTATAAGCCCTTTAATATAGTTTATTTATAGTTACAAGGCCACAGTGATTCTTAATTGTTAACCCTTATTATTATTATTATTATATGCATACTCAAGCAACAGACCTAAATATTCCAGCTAGTGTGGGTCATTAACGATACTCTTTGCTTCCACCGAATATATATATATATACGAGACAGTCGTTAACACGGCGTAACATATCGGTATTTACTATAGACGGAGTGTTAAAAAACAGTGAGATTCAAGATTGGGCATAAAACTTCACTGACCAATCCCACCTGTGGTCAGCCAGCGAAGTGATTAAGTCATTCATTGGGGTCAGGTGCACTCAACTTTAGTTTATTGAAGTTCCTACTAAGATAAAGAAGATTATGAACAAAACGAAGATGCGCGTGAAAAGTCAGCGGCAGCGAATTAACTTGAAGAACTGTCATCTTCTTACGACCCTCGCCCTCTATCGACGTCTCTCTCGTGTGTAATTGACCGAACAAGGCACCCTACTTGCCCGTGCAGTCGGATGCAGCTTCAGGTTGAAATAGCGTTCGGTTTTATGCCTCAAGCAAACGCTGCTATCCGTTCCGGACCGACCCGCCTTGTCGGCGCTGACATGCGAACCGCAGTATAGGCTAAGAACTTACAATTGGCCGTTAGACTGTGGCGCAGGCGAGTGATCTTTTTGAAGAAGTAAATATTTCGTCGTATGGACAACAAATTTATACGAAGACGAAGCCGACATGAATAATCGCAATCTCAGGCTAAAACAACAACGGTTACATCAACTGCCCTGTTGTGTGATGATTGTCTAGCTTGTTGCGGAATGTATCCGATTCACCATATATGAGGATTACCTCCTATATGACTATCCGATATATGTAATGTTGTATCTCTATAATGAATTAGAGCGCTACGATAGTGCTGGTTGCTACTCCAGTAAATGTAATTACCCTGTTAAACTAGTGATGCTCGCCGCACTTGACCCTATTATGAACTTCTGTTTATCATAAATGCCTATTTTAGACTTCTAAATTAGGACATACTGTAGGGTGTTGTGGCCATGAGCCCCTATACCATTGGAGAAACTCGTCAAGTTTATAACCAGATTATCAATGTCCGTTTGATGTATACTGTAAGCTATGATGCATGAATGAAGTAACTGATCGTATTTAGGTCATTTTCTACGTTTCGTGTAACACTTTCTAATTGATTCCCATAAAAGCCTCAGGAACTTGGCATATAACCTCATTCTGTGAATGAAAGAAAACTTATTACATAATATAAGTTATGGATGAAGTGAAAACGCTCCGTTAGATAGAGATGCTTAGTTTGTTCGAGCCGATGATGCCGCCGACGCTTCTTTGAATCATGAATATTGAACACGTCACTGTTATTTATGAATGCCTTTACAAATCTCGACGCATCCGAAGTACATACGAAGGGTTCCTGATAAAGGCAACAATAGGATTGGTATTATATAATCCGAAAGCCGTTAGGAGCTATCATTAATCGCTGAAGGGCAAAGCTTGCATATTTTTTCCCATTGTCTGCTCGTCTTTGTCTTTCCTATTTGTTTATGCAGTACCCGCCCCTGCATAAGGCTCAGTCATCTACAAAAACTGTTCTGTTCGTCTACGGCACCATGTTTGCCATTGAATCAGGATTCGTTATTAGCACTGCCTTGCAGCTTGCGTATTCACTTAAAGTGCTTCATATATATATATATATATATATATATATATATATATATATATATAGATCTATTCAATAATTCAAAACTATTAGAAAGTATAAAAGCTCCCCATAATTGACTCTATAGCCTCCGATATATTCTATTGTTAAACAGACTCAATGAATGGTTGCTAGAGTAGGATTTTCAGTATGCGTTGAGTTCTGTTTGGGGATATACGTCTGTAACACGCTAATGGATCAATCTACTTATCTACACTTGTAATTGTCTTTTCTATAGCCAAAAACTTAATACTATTCGGAAAGTGAAGTGTTGTCCGTCCAAGTTAATATACGTTTGAAATACCAATCGTGTGATGGAGGTAAAGGATACACATTCTAGCTAGATATATGAGGACGCTTTGCAGAAAATTTTGAAAAGAAACGTACAAATAACAACATATATTTAACGTCAAGATTTCAAAAAATTAGCAAATACGCGAGATATGACTCATCAGCGTGATGTACCATGAGCGTCCGATAAATTTTGTTCCGACACTCTTTTCGATAAGCCTTAAGAATTTCAAAACGCCTTGCCTAAAATGCCACCTCTATAATCGCTCTGTAAACTACCGAGCCGAATGCCTACAGTGATACGGTGTCAAACGACAGCTCTTGTAGAGGTTCCCTGAGGTCCGTTGCAGGTTCTTAAGTTATCCGCTCGTTACTTCCCGCAGCCCTCTGTTGTCTTTTTGTTTCATACTGTAGAGTACAACCGGGTCATCGTTTTATAAGCTTTTGTTATAAGCTAGGTTGTCCAGGTTGGATACAAGGCAAAGCCAGCACATTTTACCTTGTGGTGAGGGCCAACCGTCTGACGTTTCGCGGCAGCACCGGCTCCAGAACTCGAAACATTTATTTGAATCAATTTCAAATCTATTTTCATATGTACATGTGGCGGAAAGCAAGGACCACCTGACATTTTAGACAAAGTTGCTCGCCAGTTTAAGAGAGATTTTCCTTTTACATCTGTTGAAATAGCAGGAGAGTATAACTTAATAAAAAGACGAGTAAAAAGAAAGTAAGAACTTTTAAAGCATGAAGATTGGCTATATATACGCTTTATACGTACAATATATTGTCTGCTGCAGATATTCTCTCATGCTTTGCCATAAATTTACGCAAAATCCTTGGCAATTCTTAAAATAACTACAGATACTTTCCTTCGCAATACAATGATACCGCGTTATCGCTAGTTCTGACGATAATTCAGTACATTACCTATCCACGTCTATTGTTGCCACCGTATATGTTTAGGATGTGTTAATAATTATCTTCGATCTTTTTTCTTTACGTCGTTATGCATCATGGCAACGATCACGCGCAGGCAACAGCGTCAGGTCGTGTGCCGATGTCACGCAGCCTTCTTTGCCATTTTGCTCTTACTGTTCCTTGCCTGCTGTGTTGTTGTTATTTTTGTCGTTTCCTATCCACTGCGATCACTGAAAGCGTCTGTCGGCCCAGCAAACATAGGGGCATTGATTAAATCGTTGAAATCCTCTTCCATTGTTTGGCCTCGTTATCCCATTGAGCATCGACCTGTTGTAATCAAAACGATCTAGTGGGCTTCCCGAGGCTGTGCTAGAAACTTATTCGAAGCTGCTGAACTGCACGATCCAGGATTCAATCGACGAGATGTAATGCACTTCGTCGCCGTTGGTGCTGCCGTTTGCGCACCGTGTGTCGTTATCGGTGTGTGAGTGAGTGTGTGTGTGTGTGTCTGGTGGAAGCCCACAAAGACCTGGAGAGCTCCTTATTTCTGCTTTGAAGAATCAGATGCATATTAGGCCGTTTACGCGGCTGCTGGTCAAAGCTATACTTGAAAACGCTGTCCTACTAAAGTCTACGTTATAATTTTTATTTAATTTTGCTTTCTTTGAAATTTCATTGGCTGTTCTTTTTCAATTAGCTCATTTCCATTGTTCGCCTCATGCTTTTCTTATATTTCTGACTAACGCCAGAGCAAAAGTTCATTCAATAAGGCGATACAACGACTCTAACATACTAAATTATCTTTCGGCGGAGTCGATTGTCGGCCACGCTGTTGTTAAAGGCAGCAGAATTAAATGCTGGTCAAATCTGCCACCCGGTGCACACGGTTTTCGTCAGCAAGTGAAGATAATCTATGATAATCGAAAAAATAAGGCTTCTAATTACGAACTTAAGACATATAGATTACTATAAAATAGAGAGACCTTGTGTTTATTCTACGATATATTCGATGTGCGTGTGTGTACAGAATAATAATTCACGATCCACTAAACTTTGTATGTTACGACTA